CAATGTCAATCTGATCACACATTGTTTGTGAAAAGAGGAGAAGGTAAAATTGCTGCTTTGATAGTATATGTTGATGATATAATTATCACTGGTGACTGAAAGGATGAAATCCAAAAGTTGAAGAGTTTTCTTGCCACACAGTTTGAAGTAAAGGATCTAGGTCCTCTAAGATACTTCCTAGGAATTGAAGTTGCCCCCTCAAAAAGGGGTATCTTCATTTCCCAAAGGAAGTATGTCCTAGATTTATTCCAGGATACAAGAAAAATGAGAGTGAAGCCAGTTGATTCCCTAATTGATCCTAACCATAAATTAGGTGACAGCCAAGGTGAACCTATCAAGGATGTGAAGCAGTTTCAGAGACTTATAGGGAGATTGTTATATCTTTCTATGGCCCGCCCAGACATTGCTTATGCAGTTGGTGTCCTTAGCAGGTTCATGCATGCCCCTATGACCACTCATCTTGAAGCAAGAGAAAGAATCCTCCGATACCTTAAAAGGTTTCCAGGTGCTGGCTTGTTGTTTGAAAGGCATAGACATTTGAAAGTTGAAGTGTATACTGATGCAGATTGGGCAGGATCCCTAAATGACAGAAAGTCAACTAGTGGCTACTACACCTTCATAGGAGGAAATCTAGTTACCTGGAGAAGCAAAAAGCAAAGTGTGGTGGCTAGATCTAGTGCTGAAGCTGAATATCGAGCAATGGCTCATGGAGTGGCTGAAATTATGTGGATAAAGAATCTGTTGAGTGAGTTGGGTTTTCCGGTGGACAGACCTATGACCCTATTTTGTGATAACAAAGCAGCCATAAACATTGTTGCTAACCCTGTTCTATATGATAGAACTAAACACATCGAAGTCGACAAGCATTTTATCAGAGAGAAAGTTATCACAGGGGAAGTGTATACTCCCTATGTCAGCTCTGAGGATCAACTTGCAAAGATCTTTACAAAAGGACTACACCACTTAAGACATCATGATTTATGTGACAAGTTGGGCATGATTGACATCTATGTCCCAACTTGAGGGGGAGTGTTAACAGTTGTTATTTTCTCCTATGTATAGTACCGCAGGGGTACTATTGTACTTTTGCTCCTTTTTTTTATTTTAGTTGTTGTCGCCCTAGTATATATATTAAAAAGTTGTGCTGCCAGCAGTATCTTTGAGCTCTCAATTCTCTCTTCTCTCTTCTTCTCTCTCTTTTCTCTGTTCTTCCATTCTTCTCTCCTGCATAATAAAGCTCTTGCAGATTTCTTATATTCTCTTGATTATGTCCCTCACAGACTAATATGATATCATTTGCAAACTGTAAATGTGTGACTCACCTCAAATTTTCCTATCCTCCAACCTCTAAATAGGTTGCTTTGATCAACCTCCACGATCATCCTACTTAAAACATCAGTAACTAAAGTGAATAAAGAAAGGGGATCACCTTGCCTCAAACCTATTTTCGCTGGGAAGTAATATCCACACCATCAATCATGATCGAGTACTGCACTAAACTAAGGCAACCCATCATCCACACCCTCCACTTCTCCCCCAACCCAATTATCCCCATAATTTCCAAAGAAAAGACCAGTCCACAAAATCATATACTTTACCTCTTCTAAAAAAAGGGAACTAAGCAAATTTTTTCATTTCAATTGGTAATTTTAGTTTTTTATTTTGTGAAATCCTTGTCACCTAGGAAACTAGGCACCCCACTGTCACTTAAAATTGCCTAAACACCTTGACAATTATGGTTGTTAATTGTTACTTCCTAGCAAGGAAGTGTTTCAGCACTTGGTGGACAGGCTAATACCTTTTGTTTCTTTTTTTTTTTTTTGACTCATGGGGCTAATCAAGTTCGTTCTGTTGTTGATCTGGAGTTTGGTAGAACTTATTTTTTCAGATGCAAAATGTTAGTTCAGAACCAAGTTGGAGAACCAAGAGCATCCTTTACCAATATAATGTACACTATTCCAATCCATAAAAAATGAACAGTAGACATGACCATAGAACATAAGTATGCCGATCCAAATCATATCTGCATCACATGTGGGAAACAGTTAAAATATAGTGAAACAAGCTGGGTGGTAAACATGGTGTAGAAAAACCATTGTTGACAACTCAAATATTATCCAAAGCAAACAGAACCAGATTCCAATTTATAGCCTTGAGCACCATAACTCCTAGCAATTACATCGACAGAAACATCAAAACTGATTTTTCTTGAAATTCTTCAAAAAAATCCGACAAAAACTATCATCTCTTCACAAATAAAATTCTGAAAATTGATACTTGGACACCTAAATCATTCTAAACAAGCCATAGAAAGATCCTACTCTATAGGGCTGGGTGTCCATGTGGCTACTGACATCATGGTAACATCACCAATCAACAATGCACACTGATGAGTCAATACCTCTCCTCGCTCTGATACCAAGTTATAATCCAATAACCAGTGCTGTTCTTGAATAAGAAATAGAAGAATGCAAGGTGCCAACCAGCTGGTTGATAAGGTCTCCTGCTGGTCATAGCGGAGACTTGGGATCAAATCCAGCCTGCACCTGGGTGGGGGTGGGGGGGGGTGGCGTTATGGGTTGGGGGATGGGATACCCCCTGTTGTGTAGCCCTTCAAAAGAAATAAAATATATATATATATAGAAGAATGGAAAGAGAGTGTGTCAAGAGGGAGGATTAAGATTGGAAAAACAGAATAGATTGATACATCAGTCTATTTCCTAACTTTATTAACTTAAGAAGAGATACAGTTATAATACTCCCATTGTTGTATCTAAGTCATACAATATAATCAATACTCCAAAATGTCTATAACAACACATTTCTAGCAATCCTAGTTTATACTTTTGACAAATGTGCTTCTAGATTATCCTATCTTCTAGGAAGATACATGGGATCCATTTCATAAGCAATACAAAAATGTCTAGAAGGTAAGTTCAAGAAAACTAATCTTTTAGAAATTCTAATAAAAATTAGGCCATGAGGCTAAAGAATGAGAACCTACAAGTAACTACCATAACAAAAGAATTCCTAAACAACTTTATATTTCAAACTAACTCAAGCTACACTTTTGCAGCAACAGTAAGTAATCAATATTAATTGAGAAAGAATCCCCTCCCTAGCAACTTTCAAGATTTCATTGCATAGTAGAGAATCACATAATTTACAGGTCATTTGGTCAAGAAAAAAAGTTACTTACCAGTAAGTACAGTGTTGAGCAATAAAACACCCTACAATTAAAAGGGAGAAAAGTTATTGTAGGAAAGGCACCTTCATTGACAATATAACTTGGATGCATGCTCTGTTTCAGCCATTTCTAGGGAAAAATATCATTTCAAGAAGCACAATATTGATTTTGGTCTCGTTAAATAATTCAATTACAAATCCAAAAAGCCCACAAATCAGACATAAATCAAGTTATGGCCAATTGTGAACACCGAATGAGTAGATATTGAGAACCAATTGTGATCACTTAAAAGTGTATTTCACCTTTGCACCTGAAGCACACCTAATGCAAAAGGAAGAAAAGGGTTTCAGGATCTTCAACAATGAGAAAAAGAGATTTGAGTGGCTGACTAAGGATATGGATGTGCAATTCAGTTGAGTTAAAAGGACTGCAAATGCTTTTGCTAATGTTTTAGCAAAACAAGAGGCGGGAAGAAATCAATTGTTTTGGTCTCAATTGTAACTGTGTATTTGTTGTGGAAAGGTTAGACAGCTTACCTCTCTCAATCCTGTAACTACTTTTATAAATCTAATGAAATTTTTTTTGATAAATAAAATCATCTTCCATTAATTTAATGATTGGTTACATGAAAATCCCCTTAGAGGCGCAAGGTGCCGCCTCTCCGAACAGGAAAAACAAAAACTACAACAGAGATTACATGAATGTTGATGTTAAACAAGAGTTACAGTTGTGCCCAAAACAATGTTTCCCTATTTATCCCTTGTTTTGCCAAGACATCGGCAAATGCATTATCCATGTGCAATGAACTTCGATGTCCTTAGTCAGCCACTTAAACTTCCTCTTTTCATTGTTGTAAATCYAGAGCTTAGAGCTATCCTCTTTTAGCCAATTCACCACAATTTCAGAATCACCTTATATGATCAGTTTTTTAATATGCATGTCTTTGGCCCTTTGAATCCCTTCAAGATCTCCTAGAATCTCAGCCCTTAGAGAATCTCCCACCCCAATTGGACCGGAATACATAGCTAACAAGTTCCCTTTTTCATCTCTTATCACTCCCCCTATTCCGGAAGGCCCCGGATTGCCCATGCTGCTGCCATCAAAATTCAGTTTGGTAAACCCTTGAGGTGGAGGTGTCAAACAAGAACTTGAGGCCTTCTTCACCGGAGCTGAATCTGCAATCTCCTTCCAATTTCTTATCATCTGATCAACTGAGAAACAGTTCTAAAGTTTTCAACTAATGTATCACCCTAACATGGATACTCTCCAAGATTGCTTCCAAGCTTCTCTCCTTATCTGAGAAGATCCGTGAATTTCTCTCCTCCCAAACAGTCCAACATACTGCAGCCCTAACACATCTCYACAWGATCTWGGCCCTTTTTGTTGTCCAGCGAGGCATGGATGTGAATAAACTTTGCACATTCAAAGGAGGGGTCCACCTGCACCCAAACAAAGAAGTAAATCATTCCCAAATACCTTTAACAAACTGACAAGAAATTAGTAAATGGTATCCAGACTCACCATTTGAATTTCTTTAACTCATTTTTGTAGCCCCAAGTGACATCCTCCGGATTATTTAACCAGTCCACCACTATCTTAGTATCTCCTTCAATCAGAAGCTGCTCCACGCCCACTTCTTTTGCAAGAAGTAATCCTTGTATTGCAGCTAACAGTTCTGCCCAGATAGAGTTCCCAACACCTAAAGGGCCAGAGTAGAGTAAGACAACCTCTCCAGCCTCATTCCTCAGTACACCTCCCATCCCTGAGGGACCCGGGTTACCCTGGCTACTCCCATCAAAATTCAGCTTCAAAGAACCAAGAGGAGGGAGGATCCAACTAGTCAATACCCTTACCTTGTAGGAGGAACAGCTTGCTACCAACTTCCAATCCTTCCAACAATTAGTAAAAGAGAAATGGTTAAATAATTCTAGAGTCTTTAACCAATGTATTGACCTGTACATAATGCAGTCCTTTAAGGCTTGACTGCTCCTTCCTTTTTCTTGGATGATCCTGGCATTCCTTTCTTCTGTCCATAACAATGCCGCTCGTGTGCACCTCCACATTTTCCTTCCTCTTTTATGGGGACAAGAGAAAAAAGAAGGGTTAAAGATTGTGCTTACTTTTACTAGCATATCCCAACTACACCCAAACAAAGATAGAAGCCAAACCCAGAGCTCTGCAGTTACACTACAAGATAAAAATAGATGATTACAATCCTCACCATGAGATCTGCAAAGAATGCACCAGTTTGGTGAAATACAAAGGATGGGTCTTCTCTTTTGTAGGTTATCCATCGTGTTTACTTTACCATGCCACACTTCCCAACACAAAGCCATAACCTTGGGGGGGATTGGCCTACACCAGACTTCTTTGGAAGGGAAACTTTGTTGAGAGGAAGTTTGGCAGAGGAAATTGAAAAAAGGAGCCACAAGAAAAAGACCCATTGGGGTGAATGGCCCAAATCCTTTTATCAGGCTCGAGGGATCCAGCCAAATCTTATCAAGGAGACATAAAAGAGTAGACAAACACTCAAATTCCCCATCCCTTAACCCTCTATAGAAACCAAAATCCCATGATAACGCTGACAAATTTAAAATCAACAGAAGGAATTTTGAGATCACCTCCTTTTTATACAAAGAAACAGAGTACAAAGAAGGAAAAAGGTCGTTTAGAGGGAGATCTCCAACCCAAATGTCCTCCCAAAACTGAATAGAATTACCAGAACAAGCATCATACCTAACAGAACTGAGGAACTGTGGAAGAATTTTGTGAATTGCTTTCCATGGTGTGGCTAGGTTAGCCCTCCTTGATGCACCAGCATCCCAACCACTCTCTATACATCCATGAATACTCTTCACTACTTCGTGCCAAAGTCTATCTCGCTCCAAAGGCCACCTCCACAGCCACTTCCCTAACAAAGTTTTGTTCTTTTTAAGCACATTCCCGAGCCATAATCCTCCTTCCTCTTTGCTTCTACCCACAACCTCCCAATTAATTAAGTGATCTTTTTTTACCTTCTCTCGGTTCCCAAAGAAAATCTCTCGTCAATTTTCCAATTTCTTTGCTTCCCTAGACGTTATCCTAAAAACAAAGAGGTAATAGGTAGGTAGATTCATGAGGGTAGCTTTTATCAAAGTGATCTTCCCACCCAAAGAGATATAATTTTTCTTCCACACATCTAATCTCTTTTCGATCTTCTCCAAGACTGGGGTCCAGAACCTACTCTCCCTAGGGTTTGCTCCTAACGGAAGCCCTAAGTAGGACAAAGGCCAGGAAGAAATGGAACACTCAAGACAATCTGCAACCGCCTCAATCTCCTCAAAGTCTAGATTCACTCTGGCTATGCAGCTTTTTCCTAGATTGATTTTCAAATTGGAAACTCCTTCAAAAGCTCTAATCAATTCTTTCAGGTTTTCCACCTTCTCACCGAATCCTCCATCACAGAAGATCATCAAGTCATCTGCAAACTGAAGGTGAGTTACTAGAATTTGGTTTGTGCCTACTCTCCATCCCCTTATCACATCCTCCCCATCAGCCCTAGTGATAATTCGACTGGACACATCAGCTACAAGGTAAAGAGAAAAGGTGAAAGTGGGCCCCCTTGTCTAATACCCCTACTAGCTAGAAAAAAATCCCTCACCACCTCATTTACTAGGATGAAATAGTGACAAGAGCTGGCACAACCAGACACCCAACTACACCATCTTTCCCCAAACCCACACTTCCACAAAACCTCTAGTAGAAACTACCAGTCCACCAAGTCATAGGCTTTCTCAAGATCAAGCTTACAAACAAATCCTCTTTGCTTGGACCTCTTCATCTCTTCCACACATTCATTGGCAATCAAGATCTGATCAATTATCCGACGCCCTTGGATGAAAGACCCTTGAGCCTGACTAATAATGGAGGGAAGGATTTCTTTAATCCTCAAAACAGGACCTTGGCCAGGATTTTATAGATACTAGTCACCAAATTAATTCGACCAAAATCTTTAGGATGGATAGCATCAGCTTTCTTTGGAACAAGGGCCAAGAAAGTAGCATTAATGCCTCGGCTAACTATATGCTTCTCTGCAAACCCATTAAAAACCTCACAAATATCAACTTTGACCACCTCCCAACAATCTTGGTAAAAAGCCATTGTAAAATCATATGGGCCTGGAGCTTTGGATCTATCCATCAAAAACACCGCCTTCCTAATCTCTTCTTCCTCAAAATTTCTTTCCAACCATCTAACCTGATCTTCCTCCAAACTTGGCCAATCTACCCCTTCTATTTCCATCCTCTCTTCCAAGGGTCTTCTGTAAATCGATTTGAAATTATCCACAAACTTCCTGTCAATATCATCCTGATTAGTGAATGCCTCCCCCCCTACCTCTAACTTAGACACAAAGTTCTTTCTCCTCCTCCCATTTGCTACGTCATGAAAAAACTTAGTATTTCCGTCACTTTCCTTAACCCACCTATGCCTCGATTTCTGCCTCCAGCTTATTTCTCCCCTCAGTAGGACCTCTTCTAGGTCCTTCAATTGTCCCCTCAGATCTCTCTCCCCCTCCTCCATTCTAGATTGGGCCTCTCTTTCATCCAACTCTTCTATCATAGAGATTAGATTCACTTTTTGCTCCTCAAGTCTTCCAAAGTGTTCCTTGTTACAAATCCAATCTTTTATTTTGGCTCTTAGCCTCTGCAGCTTCTTATGAATGCTGTTCAAGCTGCAGTTTCTAATGAAATTCAGTTATTGATAAAAAAAAAAAAAAAAAAAAAAAAACTTCTCTTGTGAATGCTGTTTAAGCTGTTAACTCCCCTAAATATCAATCTGATAATAGCTGTTAGCTCTCAGTTATCAACCTAGTGCATTCACTCCAAATCACATTTACATCCTTCCAGTCTTCAAATGAAAATACCCATCATCCTCCCTATCAACATCCCTCAATGTTAAACCATAGACAAACAACAAAGATGCATATTCCATCAGTCCTGCACCTGATCTCCTTGGCTCCCTTAAAATTACCAACTCTTTCCCTATTATGTCAACAATGTACTTGTACCCATCCCAGACCCCCTCCAATTCATCATCAACCCCATTAAACACCTCCAAAGCTTGATCAATATATAAAAATATTAAGTTCAAAGGCTTTCCATACTATTTTTTTTTTGATCAATAGCTTTCCATACTATTTGATTTGCAATAGAGTGGAGCCGACTGTATCCCTATCATTTTTAGCATCCATAGACTGTCTTCTGTGTTTTCTAAAGCTCAGAACACCTGTTTGTGACTCTATGTAAGATAATTATTTACCATGGAAACATAAACTCTAACTCAACCAATCACATCTCTGCTAAGTATTCCTCATAGTATTATTTGCTGCAACAATTTTCTAAATAAAATAAGGAAGTGATATTAAAACACAAAGATGTAGGCAGTAAACATTAAAAAAATGTCTGAAAGATGAAAAGGAGGCGTGCAAGGACTAAAATGTAACTTTTACCTGTACAGCCCATCGCTCTAAGTTCCCATGAGATGGAACTGAACAACCCAGATCCTTCTGAAGTTCCTTAAATATATTAACCAGACTTGAAGGGACCTTGATTCCCTCAGGCACAGAGAAAGAAAGACCCATTGCTTGACCAGGACCATGATAAGGGTCCTGAGAAGAAAAAATACCACTGTAACAATTTGTAATTATTTATTTAATCAATATAGAAACTACAAGTACAACCCAAAGGCATGCAATAGCCACAATATTTCCTTTTTCTTCACTCCATCATGACTCTGAAATCTGAATGCATTAATTTAGATGTCAAGAAGAACAAATTAAAACCAAAGTTCGAGATAAGATCTATTTTAGTTCTGGCCCTCTGGGGAACACAATGTGTCCTAGTTCTGCATGTGAGGTTAGTAGCTACTAAAATCCTGGTATAGTTATAGCATGCAAGGACTATGTTCATGATATGCAACAGATAGCAAAATTAGAGGTTTCCATCAGTAAATCAACAATAGTCATTCTTTCGCTCTTTACATCATTATTATTTCAATCTCATACCCAGCTCTTGGGCGCCAAAGTCATGAACAATAACCACTAAGCAAGATTTCATCTTCAACCATAGTACAATATCTGGTGGCAATTAAATTTCTCCAAATAACACTTTCTGAATCATATTGGAACTTCCCAATCATCGAAGACATAACTGAAGCAAGTTCATCTGACTCTTTTATAAGTTTCATGTCCTTGATCCTCCTCATACATGCATCAAGTGATAACTCAAAGATCTAAGACAAGAAAAGTATTAACGAAGTTATGATTAGCTAACTTGCTACGATAATGTAAGAACTAATAAAACCTCCATCAAAATTTTGCGATGGATTCCTTTTTTTATTATCCTTGCTTCATTAAACTTTTCTTTTAACATTTTTGGCATTGAAGCGGCTCTGCTTGGTTGTGGGAACAGGAAGGTGGATTCTGGACCTGAGCTTATGGGATGAAGCCCCGGTGCTCCATAGCCTTTTTTTTTTTTTTTTACTTTTTCTTATCAGTAACAAAGAAGAAATTATTTTAAACTAGAACAATAATATACAACTTTATACAAGAGTTAGGGCATAGACAGGCTATCCCTCCCCACAAAGAATGAATGCTCCACAGGCTTTACAACTTAGAAAGGTCGCATCTTCTGAATAATGTAAGTCATACCTGACCGATAATCACAGCCTTGACTCGGTCGAACGGTGTAGTGTTAAGAGCATTAAATATCAGATGCGGAGGCGGATATATCGGTACACTGCCATGCATCTCTCGTTCGACAAACTTGCATAGACTTTTGGCATAGGGCTTCTGCAGCTCTCCAGGAAGAGCTTCCAACCACGTTTGCTCCACCAAAAGATCTTCCAGTTTCACATAATCCACCCCTTCAGCTGGCACATACAAAACCAAAGCTAGATTACATTTTCACGTATGATCATAGAGAGCATAGAAAGAGAAAGGGCACTAGAAATTCCAAGTACCTTTGGATTTAGAGACTCTCTCGGTGCAGATCCTGAGGTTCCGTTTCGATTTTGCAAGGGATTTGTTGAACTCGATCCTGGTTTTCTGCTCGACGGTGAGAGTGGAAGGAGAATCGGTTCCGGTTCTGTCAGCGATGTTGTGGTCGCCGGTGGTGGAATGGCAGATAGAGGAAATGGTATTTTTAGAAGCTGGGGTTTCGCAGACCTTTAATCGCTTTGCGGGTTGGAAGAGTTCCATCAGGGTTTTGGAGGAAGACATGATCATGACAGGTGAGTACGCAGAGCAGGGGAGAAGAGACGAGACTCGCAAAATCCCATTCCCCCACCAACGGTTTGTGGCGGGAAAGTAAAAATTTTGGGACGCGATTCGATTGAGGAAGGTTACCGATTCCCAATTCTCATGTCCCGTGACGTTAGTAATTTAGGGTCCGTTTGGTTTCTGGGAATAGGAGTCTGGAAGAACGGTACAATCTTGGCTCGGCGGAATCCAAATCCAACTCTCGATCCTAGCGGAATTATCATTCCTTCATCTTTTCCCTTCCTTTGGGAACGAGAATCCCAGTCCAACTGATTCCAATTCTAACGGATTTTGACTCTAATTCCAGGTATAAATCAAACGGACCCTCAGTATTTATGTTCTTCCTAGATGTGTAAATCGGGTCATATTGGGCTGGCACGGTGCCATGCTGACCCATGGGCCGAGTCAAGTCATGCTTCTCTCCCTGAGATATTTTGGGGGTCAGCCCGACACGACCCATGACCCAAGCTCAAGCGGGCCCGTGTAGTGCCACGGGCCAGGCTAGTTTGTAGGGCGAGTCTTAGGCCAGGCCGGGCCAAGCCATCTTTTTTTTTTAATTTTTGAAAAATAATAAATATTTTAACATAAATTAAAAATATATACAAAAAAAATATCTTAAATTTTTATTTTATATGAATTTTAATGTATACACTTGTTTATATATGTAATAATAAAATGAAATATTTGGATTGTATTGGACAGGATCAGACCACGGGTAGCACAATCCACTTAGTTGTGTTGTGTCGTGTCGGCCCATGGACCTGAAAGAGGGGATCTTGTTTCTCCCACTAAAACCCAAACATCTGTCGTCTATAAGGTATATCGAAATACCTTTATCATTAATGTCACGCATCTGTACTTTCAAAATTTCAGAATCTTCAATCATTTCCATTTAATTTGTTAGCCTATGATTCCATTGAGATCAATTCACCTCTGTGTCTACATTTTCATGTACGAGACCTTGTATTTGAGTTTTCATGCCTTTTTTCTCAAACTCAAATAGAAATAAGAGACAAAAGGAACTGAGAATCAAATCATTTAGCGGAGAATGACATAATCTATCAAGCATATATATGGAGTTGAGTACATCTTCAAGGGTCTGAGCTATTGAAGGTTTTGCAAGCTAGCTAGTTTCTAATCACCTGCCTCTCCTCCATCACCCTTCACTTTCTCATCTTCTCTGTCCCAGAAACCATTTTCTTTCTTTAAAACACCAAGCCTCAGAACCCAATTTTCTTAAAGGAGAACTAATCATTCTTCAAAATAGAGAACCAGATGAAGTATTATATTGTATAAGCAAGAGGAAAAGGAAGAAGAAGAATAGAAGTGAAGCAATTCACAGCTCCAACACACTGTCTTTCTCTCAAGAACCACTACAAAACCCAAAACAATCTTACAGAATCATCTCCTTCAATTTTTCTATCACTTTCAAAGAAAACCCATGATGAATCGGAGCTCGGTTTTGCTTCAAACCATTGCTTGCAATAGATTCTCTGAAACACCAACCATCACAAAGGATTTCTCTTTCTTTCAGTGGTGGTTCTGCTTCCTCAACACTCTAAACCCTCCAGGGCTCCTCTGCTTTTGTTTGGTGAAAACTCATTCCCTCTGCACGATTCGTCCGAACCCCTCCAATTTAAAATTATCCAGAACAAATTAAAAAAAAAAAAAAGGTAAAATAGATAATTTCAGAAGCTCGGTTGGTCGTTCGATTAGGCTCTAAATCAATAGATTGTTCTGCTGTACAAAGGAGATTTTATGAGAAAAGAACCAAAAAATAGACAGGAAATAGTGTATATACTCTGTAAAATGCTAACTTGACAAACTGGAACATGGCTCTCTGTCTCTTGTTAGAGATCACATGGCAAAGTTATAACAAAAGCAATGTCTTTACTCTGGATTTCAAATCTGGAACTTGTATCAGGAACAAAGATGCCAATACTCACCAAACAATGATTCTGCCCTAGCCAATTAGAAGGAATAATGCAAATACGTGCCTTGATCTGGACAAAAGTGATGGCACCAGTGTCGTTGCTGCGCAGGTTGTCAGTGGCATTTTTCATCTGCTAGTGACACAAGGGTAAAATTAGTATTTAAAAAAATCGATGCATCAACTAACATTGTCCCGTCTGGGTCAGTGACGGAATGGAGGTTTTTATCGAGTTTCTTAAAAGTTCAGGGGGGGAATTTGTTATAATAAAACTATAGGGAGGTTTTTGTCGAGTTTCTCAAAAGTTCAGGGGGGAATTTGTTACAATGAAACTAAAGAGAGGTTTTTATGATTGTCAAAAACTTCAGGGAAGGTTTTTGTATTTTACCCAAAAATGTATCGCATGGGAAAATGAACTATTAGATTCTAATCCTAGGTTATCCATCTAGAAAAATATTCTAATCTTAGTTCAAGAAGGCATGGAAAGACAATTACCAAAAAGGACACTGATAAACCACAGTAAATTATAATCATACTAAAAAGGACATTAGTAATATTTATATATAAAATATAGAGTAACGAATGCACATAAATTATGTATAAATAACATATACATTTGTAGGCTTGATGCAGGTTCAGACCTGAGCCATTGAGCTTGAACACAAAACCTAGGCCCAATCCTAGAATTGTCAGGGTGGGCTGGGTTGGACTGAAAATGATTATCCTACCTTTGCCCACTCTCTCTTTATATTCAAGGGATAAAAATTTAAACCTTCCCTAAGTTACCTGACAAATATTTAAACTTCCCCTCTATTTTATTTTAAAATTTCAATTTTATTCTTTCATGGTTAAAAATGGTGCTTAGTTTGCAACCCAAGAGGGGTGAACTGGGTTACTCGATTGTGCAAGTTTTCACACTTAAGTTGGTCTTTTGTTTAGCTTCAATTGATGTTAAGGAATGAAAGACAATAATCTACTCAAGTATGATAGCAATAGATATTCAATTAACCAATCCCTATCAATTGTTTGAGCAATTAAAGCAAACAAGTAATTTAGTATATATTTGGACACTTAAATCTCAGTTTCAAACCTTTTCAATCAAATCTAAGAATATATTGAAGCATGCACTTACAATGAAGTTGAGGCTGAGAAAGAATGATAGAATAGAAGAGTAGAAAATGGCATCACGACTTATACAAGTTCAGCCATTCCTAGGATAACATCCTACCCCTAAGACAACCATCTTGACATTTTGCAATCTATTAAATAGTGAGTTTCACCAATACCAACTAAACCATTTACCTCAACTAAATAAGCTTCATAGGTGTAATCCAAACCATTTCCCCATCAACTAATCTTGATGCATACATGAATAATCTCATTCTTGTTTCTCCTTACAATTTTCACAAAAGATAAACAAATACAATGCATAGTAGTAATCCGTTTATTGGATTGAAGCTACCAATTATATCTTAAAAATATTGAGCTCAAAAAGATAGAACTCACTTGCTTGAAGGGATGCCTTGAAGAGGGGATGTCACCTTAAGGTTTACCAATTTGTCTCTTCCTTTTTCTTTAAGATAAATTTCAAATTACAATACTATTCAAATCAAAGCACTTTTTTTTTCATATTGATTTTCCAATTGTAACTCCTAGTCACTTTGACATGGAGTTCAAGCTTTTATACTCAATCAGCTTTTCGGTCTCTCCAATGTTTCTCTTGTTTTAGAAGGCTTCTCTTTTTGCCTTTTGAAATAACTTTTCAACCTAAACAAAAATATCATAAAACTTAAGAATCTTAACCTTTTTCTTATTGGGAAAGTTTACTTTTTGTCTTCTAAGAAAAATATTATTAAAACAACTTCCTAGTGTCCTTCAACAAGTCATGGGTATACTTCCTTTGGAAAATAAAAAAGCATTTATAAGACTAAGAAACTTCAACGCCAATGAGGTATTTCAGAAGACCAAGATCTTTTAATCAAACTATGAGGCAAGAAATCCCTTCAATTCTTGAATTTTTTCTTTCCAATTTCTTGTTATCACAATATCATCCACATACACAATCAAAATGGTAACCAACTAACATTAACACTGTTGAACCTCTTGAACCATGCCCTCAAAGATTGCTTCAAACTATATAGAGACTTTCTCAAGCAATAAACTTTATCCTTGCTACCATGTATTTAAAATCTAGGAGGTTGTGGCATATACACTTTTTCATAGAAGTCACCATTCAAAAAAGCATCCTTCGCATCTAGCTAATGAAATGACCATGAGAAGTTGATTGCTAAAGATAATAAGACATGGATAGAATTCATCTTGGCAATGAGAAAAAAAGTTTCATTATAATTCACACCATGTGTCTAAGAGAACCCCTTTGCCACTAGTCTTGTCATATACCTTTCAATAAACTCACTTGGTGCTTTACTATAAATACCCACCTACAACCTACTATTTCCTTTCCCTTTGGAAGATCAACAAGGTCCTATGTATGATTTTTATGAAGGGCATTAATTTTCTTATATATAGCTACTTTCCATTTAGGTAAATCCAATGCCTTTGCAATACTTTTTGGAATAAAAACACTATGAACAAAAAGATAAAAGCATTATAATTGGGAAACAAAGAATCAACGGAAGTGAAATAGGCAATAGGGTGTTTGGTTCAAGTCCTCACACCCTTACAAAGTAGGTTCAAGCGTACCTAAAGGATGACAAATGTAAGGATTTTCCTCATGAAAGTCTGATGGCAATGGTTGCACAACAAATGGTGCCACACCTGTATTCACTAGCTAATCTAACGATGGACCTTTATAACACTACTAGGGTATTTACGAGAAAAAGTATGCCTTTACTCTCCCCCTTAGGTGGGACAAAAAAAATGGACATGACTTAAAGAATGTGACGTCCATAGAGATAAAAAATTTTTGAGACATAGGGTCAAAACGCTTATACCCCTTATGAGTAGTAGGGTAATCAAGAAACATGCAAGGAATAGTACAAGAACCCAACTTACTAGATGTAGGAAACAGATTTTGAACACAACATTGGCAACCAAACACCCAGAGAGAAATGTAAAACAATGGGGATGAAGGAAAAAAAAGCAATTGATGTGGGGCTTAAGACTGCAAAAAACATGATGTCATGAAATTTATCAAGTATGCAACAATGAGAATAGAGTTAGCCTAAAAATGTTTTGGAACATTCATCTGAAAAAGTAAACCATGAGCCACTTCCAATAAATGTTTGTTCTTCATCTTATCAACACCATTTTGTTTAGGTGTTTTAGGGCAATAACCTTGATGTAATATAACATTATTCAAAAAAT